ATGGGCGGGGGAGAAATTTAATAAATAAAATAAATAATAAATAAATAAATACCAGCACCTCCCTAATATACATTCTATATGATGATTTGCGATGGCTTTTCCTGCATTTGATGACATTAAGTAGGACGGGAATGTCAGCAAGGAAGCCACCAGTCAACTTTAAGGACATGCTGTGGGGACAGCACAGTGTATACCAACATGATTTCCTCCCAGCTCTGGGATGGGTGGAGAACATGGCCAAGCAACCCTAAAAATAATTGAAAAAAAAGCAGGAATTTATTAAACAATGCCTTTGTCAGATCACATTGGGACTGTTGCAACTCGTTGTACATGGGGTTGCCCTTGAAGATCATCCAGACCTTTCAACTGGTCCAGAATACCACAGACCAGCTAGTAATGAGTTCATGTTACACCTCTATTATGGAAGGCTTTCAGATGCAACTCGAAATGCTGGCTTATGAGCAAGGTATCTGCAGATAGAAATACACCTATTACAAATCAGCGTGTTGGTCTTTAATCATATTCCCAAAGTCCTACCTTGATGAAAGCATAGCCAGCCCCGTTATCTGTGATAGTAAGTCCCAGAGCATCCTCTGTTTTGATGACCTCCACCTCTTTGGTTTCACCACGGACATGAGCGAAAATGAAGTCCTCCAAACCAATCTGGCCGCCCAGAAGCTTCTGCATATCTACCTTGTGGGTGTTCAAAGTGCAGAACAGGATCTGGAGAGATGTGCAAATGCATTGTCATTTTGAAAAGAACTAAAGGGAAGAAGAAGTCATCCTCAGGAAATCTGAGTGTAAAGCATTTTGTAGCCATCTCATTACCTGTTGCTTTTAGAAGGAGAAGTGGTAAGATTAAAATGGGGAGAAAACACAGAGTTCAGAGATCTCTCTGTATACAGGCATCTTCACATTGGGCTGGAAAAAACTCCCACCTGAGCCCTGAAAATCTGCATGAGTGAAACTGCATCTGAGGCTATTCTTCCCTAGTAATGCTTGTCTCCATCCTATCTCCCATCCTCTGCTGTCATAGACGGTAAGCCTTGTGGGAACTGAGCTTTCCTGCTCAAATTACTCATTAATTCTCTGCTCTCATTTCACCCACGGCTGATGTTTTCTTGGTCCCAAACAGCTCCCATGTTGCATTAGGACCCCAGCTCCGAGTCTGCTTCCAGACACAGCAAAAGCTCCTCAGTTGCCCCTTCAGGCCTTCTTGTCCCCAATCCCTCTTTGGTCTTGGAACCTGATAATTAACCCTCCATATTTTCTCTTCCAGTTCCAAGCTATTTCATGGTCTTCTTCCGTTTGCTCCTTGGTTGCTTGTTATGCGTCACGCTGGACATATCTTTCAGAATACCTACACAACAATGCCTCTCTCTTCTGGCAAGATGCTGAATTTTTCATCTTGTCACTATACATTCTTAATGGGATGCTTGCTACAACTTCATACAGTTCTGTGCTCCTTCCTGCCTGCCTGTCTGCCTGCCTGCAACAGAGTAAGGTAGACTAGGGTACAGCCACATTGAAAGTCTAACAACCCAGCACAGAGATTGTCTAACGACTGCCAAGGACCAGGCCACCCACTTGGTTGAAAGGCTGAGAGCCAGGCCCCTCCCTTCAATGCTTCCAGCAAACTAAGTGGCCCCCACCTTACCTCTGTTGGGGAGATGTCAAAGACCTCTGCAATTTTGGCATAGAGCTCCTTAACATTGGTGAACCCCTCAATCTTGGCAGTGGGGCTCCCATGGGCCAGCTGGGTGTGGAAGATAAGCCGAGGCCGCACCCGGGGTGGGTGCAGGGGTTGTCCTGGAGCTGTGCCCTCCTGGCCAGGAGCACCTCTGCCCCCTTCGGCAGGGGGCTGAGAGCCTGCTGTCTCCTGGGCCACACCGTTTTCCATGGGGAGGCCCTTCAGCTGCTCTGCGTTGTCTTTCTTGCGCTGTTTTCCAGACTTCCGTAGCATTGTGATGCCAGGCGTTTGAACAATGGGAGACGATGGCTTTGATTAAATTATTGATGTTGCCGCCTTCCAGGTGGAACAGCAAGGCCGTAAGGCGATCCCAGCTCTGGTATGCTACCTGGAAACCCAATCTTCCACCTTCAGTTTGGTGAGCTGCAGTTATTCCTGAGGGTGTCCAGCAGCAGGAGTCACGCATGCAGGAAGCTACAGAGGAAGCATGCCCACTCTGGCGACCTGAAGCATATGAACTTGCAACTATTTCTGTCTCTAGGTGTTTGCAGATGCTGACAGTTTCTCTAGGGAATACAGATGTTTTGCTGATATACCTGGAGCACATGAGGCCTTATTGGTAACTTCTTTTACTTATGCAAAACAGTTTCTACCTGATTTTCTCAGATTCACTGGTGCAATTGTTAGATGTCTATGCTGTTTTTTCATTATTACCACATCCCAAGGAGCATGCATTAAGACAGTGCTTCCCAAACCTGGGTAAATTACCCCAAATTGGGTAAAAGTGTTTTTTTGGGGGGTAATGAACCCATTACTCATCACAACAGGGACATTTAAATTGACTTAAGTAAAAAGGACTTTCTGATAAGTGGTTTTGGGTAATGAAGGAAAATGTTTGGGAAGCACTGCATTAAGAAAAGGGCAGAATAAGAATGATAGCAAGGAGAACTACAACCGTACATTTAGTGATATAAAACAGTTCATATCAGTCTGGGGCTATTCAGCAATACTAAATTAATAATGTAAATATTTAATACTATAAAAACTCTTCAGTGCAAATGTTTTGTCAAATGCAGCTAACTTAAAAGGATATTAAATTGATTTTTCAATGGACTGTATACAGAACTGGAGGAAATTCATAACAACAAAGGATTTGAACATAAATATCAAGGCATGTAATAACGATCCATATTAAATGCAGTTAAACAGCAGGACAATCAACCACTGAACTGTTGACTAAATGAGACGTAAGCCAAAATCCAGATAGCAAGTCTAACAAAGAAACAGACAGCAATGCACCTACAATTTCAAAAGCTGCAGTTGCAACCAAAACAGCCTATTTATTTATACATCAGGTTTATATCATATGCACATTATGATTATTAAATAGTTCTGCAGATTGCAAATAACTTGTGGGGATCAGTTAGATCCCTTAGTTGTTCACATTACTTGGGCATGAAATGCTTCAGACCGCTTGCAAATGGGAGAAGTTTCCACCCGAGAGCAACTACTGTGCTTTTTTCTGCAACAATGGTCCTATTCTTCCTCTCTACTATGGACAACCCAAAATACATAAACCCCATCTAGTGCTCCGCCCTGGAACTCTGATGTATAATCTTTTCAAAGAATTCACCAATAAACGCTGAGAGCTGCAGATATTCCTTTAATTCATCATAGAGGAAAATCAAATAATGGCATTGCTTGGTATCAATGCATTTTTCACATCAATTGAACCAATAGCAGAGCTTCTATCTAATGCATCCAATCTAGCAACACCCACAAATATTGAAATACCAAAACTGATGGAACTTATTGACCTACACTTTACCAAGTACTTTCAGTTTGATTTATTGATTTAAATTTATTGGTCACCCAACCCCAGTGGACTCAGATGACCACATTTATGAACAAAACAGAGAAACACCGATAGGATTTCAGGATTCATAGCAGAAACAGTAATGCAATAATTAGAAACAATTGTCCTACTAATTACCATCCCAAATATGGATCTGTTAGGGGGATGGCGCCTTTAGTTAGAAAACACACAAAATGTAATCATCCACATATTTGAGGGGATCAAATTCACAAAAGAAGAAAATAATAATAAGCCACCTTTCTGGACATAGTTCTCAGCAGATAAAATAATGGCAAGTGCAAACTCAAGCTTATTAAAAAGCAACTTGCACAAATTAAGACCTACAACAGCAACAACCCAACAACACACAGAAGGAACTGCAGAATAACCTTATTCAGCTGAGCAAAAACTCATTGCAACACCTAAGAACTTCCGAAAGCTGAAAAAGATGATCTATATGACATCTTCCAATGCAGTGGAACTTCATAAAACTTCATTAAAAAGTGCATATCCACCCAGCCAGTGCAGCACAGTCACTGCAACTCACAAAAAGGAGATCTTTCTCTTACATCAAGCACATCTCAGAAGCCATCCACAAATCTTTACAATCTTTTGGAATAACTGGAACAAATATACCAATAAAATCCTTTCAAAGCATATTAAGAAAAAATTAAAGACTTTCTATCCAAAGAACACAGAGCAAGAGACATTACACACGCTATGCAAACACGCTATGTGAGACAAACAAGTAAAAGATTAGCAGAATGATCCATGAGCACCAACTGACTGTTAGAAGAAATAATAAAATTTCATTAATCTCACTGCACGGAAACAAGTTCAAGTTAACTGCAGCTGGGAAGCTGTTGAAATTCTAAGTCAGGCCAAATCAAAGAATGCACCTGAATTCCTAGAAATCTGGCACTGGGCAAATTAGCAATCCAGAGAAACATAGGCATAGACACCATCTATGTACCAAAAGAAATACCCAAAGGTCAAACTAGGGTAAGAACAGTGATCACAGCCACTTCCCCCTTTATCACATATATTAAACAGCACCTAGATAAGCAAAAGATGGGATTGCTCCAGCCTAACAAGAACCAGATAACAATGTATAAATCACCCAGAAAACAACAATACCCAAAATAGCAGCCCGGACAATCACTTCCAAAGCCGGTAGGACAGGCAACTTGGTATTCCACAAGTAACCAACCAGCCTCACTTCTCCAACATCGCAGCATTAATGATGTTACTTAGGTAGGTAACAAAACCTCTGCAGATGAAAAATGAACCTTGACAGCCCAACGCTCCAGCCCCGAGCTACCTGTTTTCTCCACCATCCATTGGATTTGTTCTTTGTAAAGCATGATGTACGTAGGTAATCCTGCTGTACTTTCCCCACTTCTCTGAGTATAAAACTTTATTGGGGGCACATGGTTTAACCAGATTGGGTTTCCTCTCAAAGGAAGTGTTTGTTGAATGCCTATAGGAGATTTGCAATACATGTGTTAATTTACAAATATATAGGATGAATATATTGGTGAAAGCATTTTACGTATTCCAACAGAGTGTCAAAGTTTACTGTACTGCTTCCAATGCATTCAGTGGGATCCATCCATCCATCCATCCATCCATCCATCCATCCATCCATCCCCTACCATCTAGGTTACCCCCCAGATATCTTGCTGAGATGGATCTCTTCCGACTGTTTCCTGGCTATTTAGAAAGCCAGCTTTTAAGAACAATCAATCAGTCTCCCTAACACAGGAAGGAACCTGGCTAGTTCCATTCACCTTTCTTGTCCAGAGTTCCAGTCCCGCCACATTCATGAAAACTCCAGGCAGAATTGTTCCAATTTTGAGTTCAAGTATTTCAGAGCACCCAAGATTGGTTGGCTGTTGCCTTACTTTTGTTCTCCGTGGCTTGTGCCACCCCGCACCCCTCAGCCTGGTGTCTAAATCAACAAAGATTGCTATTTTTAAAATGTATATTTTAAAATTTGTTTTAAAAATGTCACTTTATTTCTCCTTATGTACTGAATCATTTTATACTAATCCTTGTTTTTTTCTGTTTTGATTATAGCTTAATTTTTATTCTGACTTTGGGTATTTTCTAGAAAGTTGGGTATCATAATCAAGGCAAATAAAGGACATTGGTTTTCATCTTTATTATTATTGTTGTTACTGAATTATTACATGTTTTTAATCTTCTGTGGGGGGAAATAATAAACTCATTGATGGAGACAGCATAGTTGTTCAGCAAAAAACTACAAATAGAAGAACATATAATTTGCATAGTTTCCAAAGGATTACAAAGAAACTTGTGCCACTTTAAGGGTTTACAAATTGTGTCAAATGCAGACATTATAGCTCTGAGAAAATAGAGTATAGCACAGAGCTGTTGCTGCAAGTAAAGTTGAGAATGGTCAAAGGGGAACTGATAGTCAGGGTTACTTACAGTACTGTATGATAAAATTGGAGTATCATCTGGCGGGACCCAGGAAAAGAGCCTTTTCTGCCGTAACGCCTGCCCTGTGGAACATCATCCCCCCTGACCTTAGATTGGCCCCGACCGTCCTGGCTTTTTAGGGAGGCCCTGAAGACATGGCTCTGCTGCTGCGTCTGGGAGTCCGGCAATGGTGGGGAGCTCTGACGATGGCTGTGTTGACCTGATGTAGAATGAATTCTGCTGCTGATTGTGATTTTCTGTTTTTTAAATTGATTATGGGCAGTTTTTATACGTTTCTATATTGGTTTTTAACTTGCTGTTTTATTGTTTTTACCTTGTGAGCCACCTAAAGTTGCTTAGACGAGATGGGTAGCCATGCAATCAAATAAATAACAGCCACCACCCAGCTTGTAATATGTACAAGAATTACGTTGAGAGTCAATTTGTGTGAGATGGGCGGCTATATAAATTAGATAGGTAGGTAGGTAGGTAGGTAGGTAGGTAGGTAGGTAGATAGATAGATAGATAGAGTTATGTGAATACGGAAATTGTGTTTTCCTAACCAGAAAGTTGAAAATATTCTGGGAAAATCAACAAAGCAGGTTAGGTGTGACTCATACTTTCTTGAAGTGGTTTGCTGGTTAACACGCACAGCTTGGGCAGAAATCTAAGCAGATACCAGCATCTCAAGTTCACTCCATATAGCTTATTCAGCCAGAACCGGGAAAGACCCTCCTGGGCCCATGTCATAAAGTTTGTTTGTTTGTTTTAATAGCGAGACCCAAGGGAAGCTTCTCCTGTTGGATTTCTGCCTGTTGCTGAACTCCTGGCTCTTTGTCAGTAGCTACAGCCTCCGGCCACCATGACCAGGAGAAACCGGGACTTTAAGACTTCCGCAAGTCGGGCCACAATTCCTTTCCGCAGTTGTAGTGGGCAACAACTTTGTTCTTGGGGAATTGATGGTTCGGTGCTGTGCGATTTTATCTTCCTACTTAAAACAGGAAGATAAAGAGCGGACAGCTACACAAAGCCGACTCATTGATAAATATTGGAAGAGGCGAGGAAATGCCTATTAAGTCTTTAATCACACCTCCGCAGTCCATGATTAACACTGTGGCTATTTTTTTATTCATCCTCCTTCCCTCATTGGCTCCTGCTTCAGGTCCGACCAACCCGTGCGCTCGGAACCCGTGACGTATTTCATCGCGCGCGGGAGGGCAGAGAAACCTGCCTATCATGACGTCGGGGAAGCCGCTCTTCTCCAATCAGCGTCTCGGGGGAAAGCTCGTTTAGAATAATGGTACAGTTGGGCGGGGGAAGGAGAGGAGGCGCTTCTGCGGGGGAAAGAGACGAAAAAGAGCCAAAGGAGCAGGAAAGTTTTGCGAGAGAATGTTGTATTTGCGGTGATAATAGGGAGCGGGGAGATCAGCCAGACCCAAGAAGGGGGGCGGGACGGGGCTGCGCAAGGGGGGAGATTCAGGAAGAATCCACGAACTATTGGGGAGAGGATGGGAGGGAAAGATGGAGGGAGGGAGAGGGGCGGTCTAGCTTCCTCTTTCCCCATCTTTTTCCCTCTCCATTGACCCGAGGGCATTGGTGTTAATTTAATGGTGTCTTCCCCGATATATTGCGATTTTCCAAGGTTCTGTCTTCCTAGTCTGGGTTTAGAGCAGCCTCACCTAACCTGATGCTTTTCAAACGTCCCGGATTGCAAAACCCATAAACCGCCAGCCAGCATGGCCGTTTGGAGCTCTTCTGGAATCCCTCGGCTGCAGAAAATTGCAGCTGGTCAAACGCTTTCGGGAAGCTCCCCCAAAAGCCGAAGGGCAACAACTCTCCCACTAGCCGATGGGACAATGCCTTCGGAGGCAGAGGTTCTTTTTGACCTATCTCTCCTCATGGATTTGGGCAGCTGCTCTTCTTCAGAAATTGTTGTACTCGTCTTCCTAAAGTGGTGTAATTCAGCAGTCCGCCTTGCATCTTGGAACAATGAAATCCAGAAATGAATACTGTATAGCGTTTGAGTGAGGTGGGATTTGGGGGGGGGGCGTCTGATCTGAATTTGCCATCCATCCATTTGATTGACGTTCTGTAGAATTTCTAATAATTCTACAAATGTAGAATTTCGACAATATGAATGGAGCACCAGTGAACACCACTGTTCAAACTGGAGTTTGATTCCCTGTATGCCATGTGGCTGTTTGCAGGATACAGACTGGCCAAGCTCGTATTAAACAAATGGGTTAGGTCAGGGTTCCTCAACCTTGGCAACTTTAAGATGGGTGGACTTCAACTCCCAGAATTCCC